GAATACTGACATCACCTGTCTCTTTTCATTCATGCCTGAGTATCACAAGCCAACAGGCGCAAAATGAGTGGAGGTGGTGAAAGATTCCCGTGTGACGTGTCAGGAAGGAGGAAAGGAAGATTTGGAAACCTGACAAATAACACGTCCTGAGGAGAAAATCTTTTTTTTTTCTGTAGTCATGTGCATGCACTTTGGGACCAATAATACCTGAGGCCCCTATTGAACATCAAAAGAGTTTAAATGCTAATGCCACTGAATGGCAACCCAAGTTAAGTGCTGAATTAATTACAGTTTTTCTCAAAATTTGTATAAATACAAATGTTCATATACTTTTTTTTTTCTATGTACTATTGACTCTTCTCAACAAATATCAGATTTTTTTTTTATAAAGCCTTAATTTCCATGGTTGACTGTCATGGTGAAAAAACAACTAAACATTTTGACCAGTGTGGCTCACACGATGAGACAAATGCTTTATATTTTGGGGGCCTTGGCCAAATTACTGACACGATAACTAGGTTTTGAAGCATGAATGAAATGTTTTGGGTGAGTATCTACATTTTGCAGACATGCAATAAAGTTCTGAAGTTCCAGCAAACAGTTGTGACATTTGCACTCACAGTTTAGAGAATGTTAAGATTGTTTCGAAAAATGTGCCAAAGCAATTGAGAAAAACTGTAAAAGACAGCCTGTCTGTAAGATCTTTCACTTCGCATGTCAAAGTATTTGTCTGGGTGATATTGATTTGAGTGTCAGCTAATTCATATTCATGTTTTGTATTTCTCCTAAATTGGTGTTAGTCATAAACTGGCAAACACAAAGCTTGGCCCTGCCCCCTCTCACTGATGTATGAACCATAAATCGTTAGACCACACAAAATAGATCAAGGGTCTTTCAGAAGGAGATGTGTGGGTTTAAAAAGAATATGGAATCAGCTATAAATAACAGGACAGGGCCCCTCAGGATCTTCTAATGGGATTAAAATGTTTACTTTGCAAAGTGTTGCCTCAGAGGCAAAATTATGGAGTATGTCATGTTTCATTTCAGTACAAGCATCCTTTCCTTTCCTCATCCTTTTTCTGAAGAATCTTTTTTTATGTCAAACTGGTTTCTATTATCATTATTTTGAGTGCAGCAGTTGTTAGACAAAAAGAGTTCAGTTCAGTTTTTTTCTTTTTGTATGTATGTATTTATGTATGTATGAGATAGATAGATAGATAGATAGATAGATAGATAGATAGATAGATAGACAGATAGATAGATAGAGAGAGAGGTTGGTTGGTAAGATTTTTTTTATCTCTACGCTCACTAAGGCTGCATTTATTTAATCAATTATATACAGTAAATACAACAGCCTACTATTGTACAATTTTATTACATTTTAAAATAAATCCGTTAAAAAAATGTATTTACTTCTGTGATGGCAAAGCTGAATGAGCACATGATCTTTCAGAAATTTATTTTTTTTTATTTTTGGAAACTGTGAGACTTTTTCAGGATCCTTTTATGAATTGAAAGTTCAAAAGAACAGCATTTATTTCATATCTATCTATCTATCTATCTATTGTAACAATTAAAGCCTTTACTGTCACTTTTGAATAAAAATTTTAGTTTATTTACAAAAAAAACCTTATGATTGCATTCACCAAGATCAACCATTATTAATACTTTTTTATTTATTGATTGGAAATATATCACCTACAAATCAACATTTGATGTCAAACTAGCTAGCCTCAGCTAACTTTGTATAAATCTTTGATATATTCTGTCTGGTATATTCATGTGCAATTTGAAACCCCAAAGTATTAGTAGAAAATAAACACTCACATATTTAGTTTGACCTCCTGAACTATACAGTCAACATTTTCTAAAGGTTAAGCATCATTTTTCACTGATTTGCAAGAAAAGGTAAAAGTACTTAATTTTTAAAAAGTCCTATTTTAGGCCATAGCCTACGTCGTTTTCGTGGAAAGTGCCTCCTCATACACTTAGGCTACTGAACACATGTTTGCATGTAAATGCAGAATGTTCAGCCCCTAACGTTGAATCAGTCACATTTTAAATACATCATAATTATTTTAGTGTGTGAATGTGAATCACACATGGAGTATAGATTCAGCAGGAAGAATCTATCGAAGTCAATAGGTTTGGGTCTTGCTTTTAATAGACAGGTCCACATCACTCTCTGGTGAGTCACTGAGGATGCGTCAAGAATCATGACCAGGGAAACTATTGGACAAAAAGTCTCTTCAATTCATCACTTCATGAATGGAGCCGGGGCTCTTCGGTTCAATGATGAAGAACTCTGAATGCCTTTGTTAGACTTATCTCCGGACAGCTTGCCGGTAACTGGAGGATTGTGTGTTTGGGTGTAATTGTGTTAGAACCCTCCCACATATCCTCCCTTGTGCGTCTTCTGTCTCGTTCTTTAATCTCCGCTGTTTGTCTTTGTGATAAGTGATATCCCGTTTCGATCACGATAGACTGTTTATGCCCACCTGATGAGAAGAAGGCTCTGTAACGGCCCCGGTGGAGCCACCTTATTTATAGCGTCGGAATCAAATTAGACTGTTTGTGAAAGCCTAAGATACCTGCCATTTTGACTCCGCAATAATCTCAGTCTGAAGTGATGTATTGATGCTTTCAGACAGAGTCCTAATTACGACGCAAGCCGTCAATTAGCGAGGGATGCATTTGAAGATTAAAAAAAAAAAAATGGCTGAATTGTTTGTTGCCAGACATTTAAAGTCACTATGTCTGAGGATTTATATTCCCTCTAGAGCAGTAAGCCAACTGCTATTTCATAGAAGGCTCTAAAAACCACTCAAACCATGTCACACGAGATAACAATGATGAATGGTGAAGGAAAATGACTTCCCGGTATTACTTTCCCAGATTTTCACTGAGGAGCGCTGGAGCGAGAATCCCATTTTTTGGCAGAAAGCTGGTGGCGTCAGCGACGTAAAACGTTCATAAATTCACATTCATCAAAATCTGTGGAGAGGGTTTTGGTTTATTAAGAACACTTAAAAGGGGTCATATCATGAAGAATCAAGCTAATCTTTTGATCTAGATCTTTTGATTGCTATTTAGAAGCTTCCTTCCAAAATGAAGCAGTAAGATTAATTGATAGGCTACTAATCTGCAAAAAAAAAAAGGAAACTTTCTGACGTCATATAGGCTAGATGAATACATTTGAAAATTCACATTACACGTCAATGACGTCTGCTTTTACTCATTGCACATGCAAAGTAGTGTTAAGGAGTCTTAAAGGCACAGCAGCCAGAAAAGTAATATAAAAATGTATCAGTTTACGTCATTCTAGGGTCAGAGAAAGAGTGGGAAATGTTCATCAAAAACTCGAAAAATTAAAGAAAAAAATTGCGTTATAAATGAACCTGGAACTGTAAAAAAAAGGCATATGACCCTTTAGACAGAATGAAAGACAAATATGTCTGATAAGCAAGATCCTGTCATGCATTTGCCATACTAATTATTTTGATAAGTTTTCAGAGACATTCTGGCGTGAGAATTTGTAGCACTGTGAGTTCTGGCGCAGCATTCAAGTGGTCGCTTTAATATGTTTATGTCACACTCTAAACAAAAATTAAACAGCTCAAGGCCACATTTCATGTTTGTGTTAATAACCATCCAGATCAGATCAGGGAAATATTTGATTACGATGGAGATATAGATAAAGCCACAGTTTTAGTGGATCTCAAAAGTATCTTATTTGCATCGTTTTAGTAACACCAACAGAAGGGGAAGACAAAATGTTTGTCATTTCTAATATGAGAACAGGATCTCCAAGAGTGAATATTCTATGTTTATTTGCTCATTTGAAAGGGTCCACTCTTGTTTGTGTGCTTTACTTTTAAGACTTTCTCATATGGAGTCTTACTCCAGTGCTAAAAAAGACACACTGTAGCCATGTTGTATCTGCAAAGCTGTTGAAAACAAACAGATAAATTACTTTAATCCAAGACAAAGTCAAGATAAGCAACTTTCGAAATCCTCATAAACAATTACAGAACTATGACTCTGAACTGATCTCTACTCTAAAAATAAATACATACATACATAAAGTAAAAATAACGGTGCAAATCAAATCGCATGACAGCACATATAAAGAAGTATTATACAAGCATGTAAGCAATTAAGTCAAACAAGACATTTAAGGGTGACAGAGACTTGGTGCCCACCGTTGGGATATATGAATGTGATATTGTGAGAGATTTATGATCTTATGTTCCCCCTGATACAGAAGAAATGGGTTGTCAGCTGTTATGAAATCTGCTCAATTACTGCAATGGAGCAGATTTCATAATAGCTGACAATCCATATTCCAATCAATCATCCAACAAAATAAGCTAAAAGAAACCCAAAATATGATGTTTTTATGCTCGAGTCATTTATTATCAGCCACAGGAATGCTTTAGAGAAATATATAATCAGATCAAACAGTTTTAGAATGAATTTTTTAATAAAATTTGAATTCATAAAAAGGAGAAGAAAAAAAAACAGGAAATCAAATATTGTGCTTGAATGTTTTTATTCTTTCAAAGCATCAGTGCAATATTACCATTGTTATCAAACAATGTGTTTTCATAATTCGAAATAATTCATCATTTGAATTTCAATAAGTGCCAATGGTAGATATCATGGAAATGACAGCATGGTAAGAAACTTTCACAATCCTTTTTTTAAAGTGTAAGGAATGAAATAAAATATTTAGATTTGAAATAATATATTTGGAACAGAAATATATTTGAGTAATGGTGGCTTAATGAGATACATATTCAAATGCAATCAGGACAGAATATTTACATATCATTTAAATAAACAATTGGCTGCAAAGATAAATAATACTTTCTTTAAAACTCATAATATAAAAAGCAAAGCTATTAAACGAAACTATATTTTAAGAGCATTTTAAAACAAACATAAATTATGATAAAAAGCAACAACATTTTTTTTTTTTATTATTATTATAGAACAATTATACTTTGTAAATGGAAATGACATGAAAACAATGACAGTTAATTGCAGTGATTTGAAGGCACTTCCTTGGAAAAAATAATTTACTCCAACATCTCTGGAGTTTCTTCGTTTATATCCTCAGGACCTACGACACATACAGAATTGAACAGAATTATGTTAAGATTTAATCATATTAAAATGTCCTTTATATTTTAAATCAATACTTTTAGGATTCGGTTACAGTTAGAAAAAAGAATGAGGAAGACAGCGTACGAAATTAAGTTCCTCAACCAGCTCAACCTGTCATACACAGAAACAATGAACTTCAGACTTGAATGAATTTCTCTCCACTTCAATGGAAATCACTTATTCACATCATAAAAGGCAATTTAACCATTTCTAATTGATTCAGATGAAAACCAGTCTGAGCAAGAGTAATCATAACCTAATAAAACCACCATAATTCACCAGCCCCATCATTTGACATTCAGATTGGTAATGGATTCTTTCACCTTTCACTAACAGGTTCTTTGAGTGTCTCATTCCAGCTGATGATGTCACAGCACAGACTGATTCCAGCGTCACAGTTTGGAGGTGAACTATTTTGAATATGTTTCTAGGAATTAAATGAATAATGTTTGATTCTTTGACACATGAGCTCGGATTGACTTGACAAGATTGTTATTTAATCACTTTATTACACAATCTAATATACAATTATTTGATCTATCAGAAAAAATGCATTAGGCAACTGCAACTTGGCAAAAAGGAAAAATATCACAGGACAGGAAGAGTCTGCTAGATCCAAGCTTGTGCATTGCTTTTCTTATCAATTATACAGACATAAATCTGAAATCAGAATCAGTTTCTTTAAGACTGTATACATTTAAATTTCAATTGCCAGAACATGAACTCTTGGGAGACTTTGTTACATCACTTTGTATATAATTACTTCAAAGTGATTTGTTGCACGCATGTTACAATGCAAATTTATGCCTCTCTGGAAGTTCTATTCTGCCTGTGTGAACCGTGCATTAACTGCATGCCTCAGAATGTACCAGATGGCCATGATTAAACTGACATTATATCTTACTCAATATTTCTTCTAAGGTTTCAGTTAAAGAAACATGCAAAACTTTCCCAACAGTAACCGGGAGCAGGCTTGGCTATCATGTTACAAATCTTGCCATTTCAGACAATAATAAATACACACAAACACATAATAAATATACAAATAATAGTTTATATACTCATAATTACATGTGTTAAAGCAGCTTTGTACTTACATGCAGTTTCTATGATTGTGTGCAAAGGGGACTCATAGCTAGCCTTGTTAGCAATCGTGCACATCTTTTATAATCTGTTGGGGACAAGACAAAAGAAATGAAAACAAGGAATTTTCGCTTTCACAATGTTAAACAGACATTGACACTCTGGCTTGTGCTGTGTGACATGAAGCACACGTCACCACTTCAAACGCACTGATGAAATTCAGTTTTAAGTGGAGCTCTCATGCCATCACGGGGTGACGTATAGAGTATGAACATAGCTAAGGGTTAGATGGATCCCTGTAAATAGCTTCATCTCTGCCCCAGTAATGTACTTGATGGCCTAAAATGACTGTGTGGGTTCAAGCACCACATGCTTCCACCCTTAATGGTGTTTGTGAAGTCTGAACATCCCATTGCTGTCCTGTTCCAAGCACCGTTGCCGTCATTTTCTCTCAAGGTACTGCCACGTTTCCCTCCATCCCGTTTAAAAGTGACACTGTCAAAGCAGAACTCAAACACTACAAAGTATCCTGAAAGTATACGGCGTGGAATAGCTTTGGATTCGCCGTTGCCATACATGAAAACGTATCTTGTGTTAAGTTTACTGCAGTTTAGGGAGCATTTATGTCATAAAAATGCTCTGGAAGACAGAAACTCTGATTTACGTATGAATTATTATGCATTTGTCATTCCCAGCGTTCCTCGTGGCTGCCAAATACTCACATACAGCTGGTTGGATTTGCATGTTTACAAAGCCCATCATACGAAATAATATCTCTTTGTCATACGCATGCTGCACTTTCTTTACTACTACTTTCAATAATTCATAGATCCTGATTTAGAAGAGAAAAATCCACAGTTTCTAAGGTTGAATTTCACAATTCTTCCTTCTGAGAACCACAGAGGAGGGTCGTGAAGCAAGTTCACAATACATCGCTGGCCACTAACACACAAGTGTTTTTACTCAAGAAAAATAAAACAAAACACTTGAACGGCCATTGTCCAGAGGAAACAGGCATCTGTTGTGACCCAAAATATAAATCTGATCATCACTATGGGAAGCTGGTTTGTCTTTTATTTTGTAAAATATAAAATGTAGTACAATTGAAGAAAAGGAGCCTTGATTCGTTTGGACATTTATGCTCTCTATACAGAGTAACACTTTAGCTGCGCCTTTAGATAAGCGTTATTTAATGGAAAACTCTAAACCTCTCCTGAACACTATGAAGTCCACGAGGACTAAGGGTGGAGGAGCATTTTCACTGCGGTGTAATGCCCTGTCAAAACTTTTTATTTTTTACTTCAGAAAAATAGAAATGTAGGCAGCATTTCTAAAGTCTCTACAAAATAAACAAGCACAAACATATAAGCAGCATAATACAAAAATCAACTAAGATCATAACATAATTCTAATTTGAAACTACAGGGAAACATTTCATGTCTTTAAAGTGATAGTTCACCCCAAAATGAAGATATTTAAAAAATTTTGGGTGAATTATTTCTTAGTTAAAGATATACGTACATGACGGTCTGGAACATTCCCTTGTATTGTGATAAATTCTATGGAAATGTGTCCTGCATTCAGATGGAAACTTGACTGGTCCTGCTTGAAACAACAAAGGTTTCAACCATCAAATTAGCGTTTTATAGATGAATTACTCTGGTGAATGAAATCATTTAGCTTTTAATTTCAAAATGTCTGCTTAAGCATTATGTCTAATCTCACAAATTTGTACAAAGAAAATGGTAAAGTTGCTGTAACTTTTTCACTTGTGCAGAAACCCAGAAGGAGAATTAGCACATGCTAACACTTGACATGCTATCACAAGGGCAGAGACTTAGTGATTCTTATTCTGGCAAAGCTCTTACAAAGTTTCATTGTATGAGCTTCCGGATAACAAATTTGAACAAAGATTCTGCAATGAATAATCATCTTAAAAGCGCTTTTCCAAACAACATTTGGCTGGAGCTCATTTCTAGTGAGACAGATTTCAAATTATGCCTATAATGAGAATAAAAACAGAGGATGTATTCAGAATGGCTACTGAATACTGCACAGTATATATTGCATACTACTTTTTAAAAATAGCAAATGAAACAGTGTTATTCCACAATCATCATTTTAAACAGAATGCTACCTTTTTGTCACATGACCTGGCTACATTTGTCACATGACCTCATCAAGTTACATGCTGCATGCGAGTCAGTGAATGGTGTCTGGTTATTATCTTTTTCGAAACCAAGTTTTGTATAAAAATGGCTTTTATTTTTGGCAGTCAAATTAAATGAGTCAAGAAATAGATATTACTTCTGTTTCACTCCTGACACTGGAAATGGAAGGTCAGGTTGAACGCACTACATTGTAGAATACAATATTCGACAAAGTAAACATGTGGCAAATGTAGCAGGTCATAAGAAAAAGAAATTCCACACACTGCGCATGCACTGTATACTGTACATATTATATACTGCAGCAACAGTAAGAGTAGTATGTTAGTACGCTATTCTGAATACATAGCCAGTAGCCACACATCTAGAACTCATCTAGAGGGCTGCTTGAAATATTTAATACTGCAAGAAAGATGAAACATATTGAAATGGGTTTTTGTTTACCTGTAAAATGTTCTATAAATCTGTCTTTCATGCTCATGTCTCTTCGGACAACCTCTGAAACAAAAAGACAAAACGACAGTGTTAATGTTTTTGCCACCACTGTACCCAGCCTAATCAATAAGACTCAACGCTAGTAAATATACCCCTTCATCGATACCAAACCAGAAATGTGTTCTTTTAACTCATATAATACTGGATATTAATTAGCAATTTGACCATTCTTAAATAAACTGAAATAAGCAATCGATACTGTGGGTGAACAAACAGACTCACCAAGTAGCTTCCTCTCAAACTGAAGCAGTTTGAGAAACATAGAAGCTGTTATTGCATTTAGCTTGAGGTTGGTTGGATGGATGAAAATGGGAAAGAGCATTGTATTTTTGTGAAGAAATGTGTCTCTGTCTGGATATATTATCAGATATTCCACTATAATTTGTGTCTTCCAAATCAAAATGCACACATTATTTTTTCTTTTCTTAAAAAAATAATTAATTCTTTCATTGGTGTAATATTGTTGATAGCCTATTGCGATTTTAAAGTCTGTTTTATATGTATAACAAAACATTTTTAAGTGTAAGTGTTTAATGAGTTGAAAAACACAAAGCCTCTGCCAAGTGGCAGCTATAAAATATGTTTTATAGAAATGTACTGAAATGTACTGGTATATAAAACACTGAGATTTCTGTTCTGAGTTAATTGTGAATATTAAAAAAGAAACTTTACAAAGAGACAACTTTGTACAGTATAACCATTTGCTGTGTATTAATGAATGTGATTTAGCCGGGGAATGACTATGTCATCAGCTTGCGTCCAGCTTAGTCACTGAATACACTGTCTAGCACATGGCATGAAGTCATTTGTAAGTCTGCTTACTTTGCTATCTATATAGAGACATACTACTGACTTCTATTGTTATTTAATAAAGACATTCTTCATAAACCATTTATTTTGTTGACAACCTCCCCAAAGGTTTTGCAAAATTGATAACATGATTTCAGTTTGCATCAGCCCATAATTAATGATGAATTTACAGACAGTTTGTTAATAGTCTTGTAAATACTGTTAGCAGTTTGTCAGATCTCAAACTCATAAATGCCTGCAGTGTACAAACATGCAACAACCTCTTGGAAAACTTCCCCTTGTAAGGTGATGATATAACCGATTACAGTCATATACGCCATGTGTTTTACTGTGGTGACTACATGCTTGACGTAAGAAAGACGGGCAGTCATTTAAAGCATAGATGTAAAATGCAATCCCAGATTGATAATCCAGCGCTCAGTAAATCTGCTAGAGCTTGGGGTCCTTGCTAATTATGTACAATCTGTGGCCCGCCCGACCCAGGGACACCGTCCCCACATGTAGACCATATCAGTTCCAGCCTATCGGAGTAAGGAGATTATTGCATGCAAAGTTGTAATGCCTATCAATGTCAGGTCCACAAATCCATGCAGCAGCTAATTTTAACCTGCCTCAGAATGTAGGATAACCAACACTGTGTTATGAATGAGTTCCTCTCTCATTCAAATACAGTGACTTTCTACCTTTTCGATGTCTACACAGATTCTTCTACTGAGGGCCATTCTTTTCCATTTTTAATAAGAAAATCATGGAGATGATGCACTATTAAACACCCATCAAGATAATTCCAGGTCTATACACGTGTTGTCGCACCTGAGTCTTACATAAGATGACTAAATGCCTATACTAATGGGCTGTTCTATTCAGAAGGGTACAGTACAGTGCAGTGTGTTGACTGTTTAGATTATATAAATTTCCATAATCAACTCAGTTTTCAAAACTAGCATGTTTTCACTAGATTAAAATCATTCTCATTGCAAAACTTTAAAGGCAATAAACTCATTCAAAGGTCATCCAGATCAGCAATAGCAGATGTTTATGGGTGTAATTTTTCTTTGGCACACAAATTCTGTGTAACAACACGTCAATAATTTTTTTTCTTTTTTTTTTGTTATGGCTAAGACATTTAAATAGAATCAGCCCAACCAGAAAACTGGCACCGGCACTGTCAAAATTTCATGAAATTTGTTTTATAATTAAATTAAGTAATGGGGTATCACAGCAGTGAAGAAACCACGTAATAGCAAAAAAACAAGTCTTTGTCTGTATTTGAGTATAATAAACTATTCCCAAGAGTAACAGAAATGCTAAAATGCCTCTGAACACATCAAAACACTGGACAGCTTCTAGATGTGACATGGAACATTCAGTAGTTGCTGTTAAATGACACATATTTAGTTCAGCACAAATGCCAACACTCTTTGGAAAATTACACCAATAAGCACGTATTATTATTCCAGCATGAACAATCTCAAGTACATACAATTTAAAGGCACAAGCAATGTTCAATAATTTCAGCAAAAGATATTTCAATGGAATGTATATATATACATGTGCATCTCAATAAATTAGAATGTCATGGAAAAGTTATTCTTTCTTTTTTTTGAAAGAAATTAAAACTTTTATTCAGCAAGGATGTGTTTAATTGTTAAGAAGTGGTAGCAAAGATTTATATTGTTAGAAAATATGTATATTTTGAATAAATGCAGTTCTTTTTAACTTTTTATTCATCAAAGAATCCTGAAAAAAGTATCGCAGTTTCCCAATAAATATTTGTCAGCTCAACTGTTGCCAACATTGATAATTCTAATAATAAATCAGCATATTATAAACATTTCTTAAGGATCATGTGACACTTTATACTGGAGTAATGGCTGATGGAAATTCAGCTTCACAGAAATAAATTATATTTTAATGGATATTAAAATAGAAACCATTATTTTATATTGTAATAACATTTAGCAAGATTACTGTTTTTTTCTGTATTTTTGATCAAATAAATGCAGCCTTGATTAGCACTTCTTTAAAAAACATTACAAGTCTTACTGATCCCAAACTTTTGAACGGCAGTGTATATATATTCATCTTCGCATAATTCTACTATATTTGCTGTACTAAGATGAGACTGAAGTTATTCGTTTCAAACCCTTTTACAACTGACCATCCTGGAGGGTCACGTGACAATGACCATGTTAACCATTACAAATGTAGATGGGGCTCTTATCTATTACGGGGGTCTTATCTATTAATGGTGTCTCAGAAAGCAAGAAAGTAATTGACAAGGATGGACAGGCATCTGGCTTTTGTTTAAAGCAATCCATTCTTGTTGGTATACAGAGGTAGAATGTGACTGCACAACACATTTGTTAAGCAACATGTATGCTAGGGGGCTGGGGAATGTAACAGTATACAGCAATTATAAATAAGTAAAGACTACATAACATCAAAAAGTTCTAAAAAGCCATATTTCAAATGTTATATTTGTGAGACACATGGAAATGTCAGTGCCTAAACGTGCAATTGGGAATCATTTCTTGCTGTTTAATCAAAGCTGTTTTTTTAGTGAGGTCAGGTTGATTAATCATATGAAATAATTGTTTTTACTTAATAAATGCGTTAACCAAGTCGTTACTCACCAAGTGCAGATCATCAGCACACACCATTACATGACAACCAGCATCACGATTTCTCAAGCTTTTAAACTTGTCTCTGAGCAGTTCTTAGATCTACACTGATGATTTCAACATTATGTGATCTGTCTAACATGAGCATTCATTTTACTTCACTCTGCAGATCAAAAGAGTGTCCCTTAATCCAATTTCATGTCCTTTTTTACTGAACTTTTTTTCAAAATTACTCAAAGAATACAGGTTATGTTATTGTCTTTGCAATTCAGTCATGATATGTAAGGCAAAATATGAACAGCTGTCCATGCATTAAGTGATTAAAGCATTAAAAGTGCAGTTGATATGCACGAAAAAACTCCCACTAACAGGAAGTAGTTAATGCCCAGGATTACTTTTGTATCATCACCTGATCTCAAATCAGCTTACCTAATGGTCTGCTGTTGTCCGGCTTGGACAAATGTGGAGTCTTTTCACGAGAGGAAAACTTCACCTCTTGAGATACAGAGCCACTGGTGACGCGTCTGGACGCGGGCTTGTCCTCGATCACTTGCAGGATTAGATTAAGCAGAGTTTTCCTTTCTGACTCCTTTACCTCCTTGCTGTCCATGCACTGGCTGGAGGTGATGAGCAAAAGAATCATACTCAACAATATGTGCCTTCTCTTCTCAGCCCGCATGGCTTTCCAGCCTGATAAACGAACAAAACAAGCAAACATAGCCATTACATCCTCGTACTAAAAGTTCTGACCGTGCGTAAAATACGCAGATGCCAGAGCAGTGGCGCAGTGGTCCAGTGTTTATGCAGTAAATATTACATCCAGATTCGAGTCCTACCTAAAACTCTCGACCTGTTTACACTCTGTACTTTCTGCAAATAAAGGCAAAACTAAATAAATAAATAATACAACTGTACCTAAATGTACATGAAATGACCCAAAATCCAACTATTCTTCATTGTCTAGGCTACGTTTACACTTTTTGAAATCTGAGAAATAATCAATTCACTATATACTATAATCTTAAAGTATGTACTCACATAAGCAAACATAAATAGAAATTTACGCGAATATATATTGGTAGGTGTTTCTACCTCTAATGATGTGCACTCAAAGTTGTCAGAGAAAAATATATCTTCCAACAGTTCCTGTTGTCTTGTGTCTTTCTTGAGAACACGCGTCTTGTTTTTATACGTCAAGTGCGAAGCTTCTTGAATTTAATACAATCGATTTCGGGTGGGTGGCAAATGTAGACCTCTTTCCCTTAGGTTTTTTTTTTCCTCAACTCGTGGTCAGTTCCTTTGACATTCGCCCCTCCTTTCGTTTCAAATTCATCACAGAAGTTCAGATAACTATAACAAGTGTCTCAAAACTCCTCTCTGCGGTTTATTACAAGATTCATAGCTGGCAGAGGGCTGGACGCGTAAATGTTCTTGGAGATATCCATCGCGCCATGTCCCCCCAGGGAAATGATGGGGAACCTCAAGTATTCATATATCCAGATATACTTGCTTAAACGTAGTCGAGCTGTGAAAATTACGCCTGGATGTTTTTGTTCATGGATGGTCGGGTCTTGTGACTGCACTAAGCGCGCTATCCTGGTAAGCCCCGCTTGTTTCCACCTCCCAACTGAAGTTTGCACTTGGCTTTGTGCTGGTATTACACGCTTAACGCATAAATTCCAAGGTTCTTAACTTTTGTATGTCATAACAAGCAAACACAGATCAATGGTCTGATTAAAATGATCATTGAGCATTTAAATATTTTATAAATTATCACATTATTTCAACCTGTTCTCACGCCTTATGTAAAGCACTCGAACCTTGATTATTTCTTTAAGCTTCTTAATATTTCTCTGTAGCCAGTGTTTTCCCCACGGGGGTCTGTGAAGGTCCTGCAGGGGTCATGTCCTGGAAATCTGGCCTTCAAGTTTGATATCAAGTTTGTATGTGCGTAATTATGTGTGATGGTAATTACATTTTCCACTTTTGAGGGAAGATCTGAATGAAACTTTGCTTGTATTAATTGCAAAGTACAAAAATAGATTAAAAAAAAAGAATGGTGGCATTGATGGCAATATTTATATACTACTACTACTACTAATAATAATAATAATGTACAGCAGTTATTTACTATTAAAACATAAATAAAAATGTAGCCTATACATAAATACCAAACAAATGTACATTTTTACAAAAATAAATAAATAAATAACATAAAAACTATACTAACCTTGGCTTATTAATTGCAAATTATATAAATAATAAGAAATTGTTATGAATTTAAATTCTGAAATGCCCTAAGAAAACAAACAATCAAAAAAAGTAGACACTTTTTAGGAGAAATTAAAAAGTCTGGGTGGTGGACAATCCTACAATAGTGAAATAATAGTGACAATAATTAAAGTGACAATAGTTTAAAACTGTGATCTACCCATTAACCCTAGACTGATGACATTAATGATCTATCCAGGGGATCCCTGGGTGTATAAAAGTTGTAAACTCCTTCTCTGTTGAATCCATGTAAAAAAAAAGTACAATGTGAAAAGACAAACAGTTTCACACAGCTCTTGTTGCTCTTACAGGGATGTCACTGAACATGCTTCTCATATGGGAATTGGAAGGAAACTGCCTTGCTCACTGGGTTCATACTGACATTAGGAACAGAAAAAATAATCTTCAGATACTTAAATGTCACATTTGCATGAGGACATTTCAAACTGCTTTACTTTTGAAGTAACTTTTTAACTTTACATACGGTCATGACAATGGAATGCTGCATTTTCTGCATTGCAAAGCTTAATCTCAGCACAGATAGAAGCTACACTGATCGCTGTCCTAATATGGCCTTTAACTAAATACCTAAGACATATGATTATTGGAATGCTGTAGTCTACTTAGGATACTTAGGATGTTTTAAAGCCTCATATGAACTCTAACACTTACGGACAAGCAATAAAGATGTTGTACTTGGCGACATCAAGCGGTGTGTTTTCAAACTACAAGTAATATCGCTTTTCCCCCATACATCCACAGTAGTCTATAAGTGCATAAAAACACATTTTTACAGTTATTTTATTTCGTCAATAAATATGATTTTGAATTAAGCTGTAAACTTATATTTATATTAAATGATTACTTAAATTCTAGGAATTTTCGCGTACCTGTTGTTAAGATGTCAAAATGTTACGTTCATACTAGGGGCTGAATAACTCACAGTAAACTAATAATACAGTTAGTTTGCAAATTGCAACTATATTGGTAATTTGGTTGCACCATTTGTTCCACTTGAAGGCATAGTCATTAAACTCTCCTCGAAGTTATGTTTAGTCGCATAATATGACGTTAACCTTTATTGATCCGATAGGAAGCCCTAAATGTATAAACAGAAGCATTTAAAAGCTGTGCGTTTCACTTTTATCTTGTTAAGGTTAATGTTTTGAACTTGCGTAGGCTAACTGTCAACGGTAATAAATGACATTTCCACTAAAATTATATTTTATTTAACGAGAGTACATGCCAACAACATCATATATGTGTACATTAATGACATCTGTCGGGCAAAACGTTGATGTAATTCAATCAGCGGGCCAAATTTCCGTTCGACATTTGATCTTCTACCGTTCTACGTAACCGTTACCTTAGAAACAAGTTGACAACAACTTTCAGGCAAGTTAGTCAGCCATGTATCAAATTCCTACTGCTCTAGAAATGAATTTAATTCAAGAGTCACATTATTTGTTGTCGGGAGTGTCGTTCTAACTGTTAATAACTTTATCTTTAGCCCCAAAAAGTGGATGTTTTAACTACCGCTACAGACTCTTATTTGTGATAGACGTGGAGAGGAAATGCTGTAACTCCTGCGATACAAAGGAACCGTAGAGATTTTATCAAACGATGTCGCACAGGTTTGTAGGTTACAGTGACAGTAAATGTGCTTGCAAGAAATGATTGCCTCAAAAATGTAAATTGTAAAATGTCTGTGTTAGTAATTCTTCTAAATGTTACAACATACAGTCTCTTTCATGTTTAATTTAAGGTTAAGATATTATTTAATTTTATTCTCATATAACTAGCTTAGCTTGTATGCATCAATCCAATGAGTAAAACAGTTTGTCTCTGACAGCACATACAATACACTTTGGTCTGAAGCTCATGAGGAGCTCAGCTGTTTGCTGGACGAAGAACTCCCAGAAGAACCTCCCCGTCCTGAGAGAGACAGAGTGGTGTTCTTCCAAAGGCTCGCCACCTTCTATGTCCGCTATGTGCAGATCTTCAGGCAGCTAGAAGAGGCTTATGACCAAAGCGTTCACCCCCAAAAGAGGCGTGCGATTAGGCAGGTGCTGGACAGTGTGATAGGCCGTGTTCTGGAGCTCAAGAACGAAATGGTGGAAAAGGAATTTTCTGAGTACCACTACATGGATGACATCATCCAAGACCTGAAACTAACCCCTGTGAGTGTCTTTAATGCTGTAATGGACTTAATAAATGTATTTAAACCGTACACCATCATCATTTCAATCATGTTTGTCAAAGGAGGACCTTGAGATTCCAGTTCCCAGGTATTTCATTTGGGAGCGGAACAAAGTGCTGCAGGACAGAGAACGAATGTTTGCTGCTATATTAAACCAAATGGATGTGACAGAAAAGGCAGGAAAGAGTTCAATTGCTCATGTTTCATCATAAACAACAATAATTGCATTGGTTTGTGCTTACATGACTTCTCTTGCCTTCCAAAGCCTCCTGTAATGCGCATGTTGACTCTGGAGAGGGCCATTAAAATCATCCAAGTGGCTGAAAGAGCACGGCAAGGACGACTGAGGGCAAAGTTCATGCGAGAGATCCATAGAGACTCTGAGAGACAGAGGAGAGCTGAGGAACAAGAGGCAGTTAGCACTGACCAGGCCGCAGTTTGTATCCAGAAGGTAAAATATACTATTATGTTCACACAAAATAGTTATAATTAATGTATTACTATTAGTTTACACTAAAAAAAGTTTAGAAATACAGTAAATTTCTTAAACTAATTATAATCTCTGTTTAGGTGTGGAGAGGTTTCATGCAAAGAAAAATTACAAAAAGGCTACGTGAAGAGGAAATTATATTTCTTGGAATGGTAAAATGAATTATGTATCTCTACCATTCAAAAGTTTAGGGTTGATGTATTTTGATGTGTTTGAAAGAAGTCTCTTATGCTGACCAAGACTGCATTTATTTGATCAAAAATACAGTAAAACAGCAATGAAATATTGTGAAACTTTATGTGAAATGTTGTGAAATATTGCAGTTTAAAAAAACGTTTCTATTTTAATATATTTCAAAATGTAGTTTATTCCTGTGATGGCAAAGATGAATTTTTATCAGCCATCGCTCCAGTCTTCAGTGTCACGTTATCCTTCAGAAATCATCCTAATATGCTGATTTGTTGCTCAAGAAATATTTATTTTTATTATAAGTGTTAAATGAAAAAAAAAACAACAACAAAAAACAAAGCATTTATTTGATATAGATTTTTTTTTTTGCAACAATGTAAAAGTTTTTTTTACTGTTACTTTTAATCAATCCTTGCTGAATAAAGAGGTACTTTTTGGGTGCTTTATAATACATGCAAAGTACATTAACAAAGGTACCTGCTTTGTATTAATAGTCAAACATAAATATTTCAAGTAAGTCATAAATATTTTGGAGTTCATTGTGCTTCTGCAGCTTGACTACATAGTGAGTATACAACCACCTTGTTGCCACCAGTAGATGGAACTCTAATACTGTTTCTTTTTATTTCATTCTCTGGCTGTGCCATCTTCAGGCCATGGATCCAAAACTGTCCTATCCATCCCAAACCGAACTGGACGCCTTAAACAATGAGGCCAACAGGCGGACCAGACAAGACGAACATGAAGATGACTATCAGAAATCCATTGGATCTGTTATTTATCAGCTCAGGGAAGTGGAGGGCCCAGAAATGAAGGAGACCATGAAAGATCAGATCCGACAGTGGTTCATTGAGTGCCGGTGAGTGGGATCCCTTGCTGATGGTTGCACACAATTAATATTACCTTGGTGTTTTACTGAGCATATGTTATCAACATTAAAATGAGTACTTGTGAATAGTGATGCAACAGGCTCATTTCCTGACTACCCAGAGGAGGAGAATGGAGGCTCAGCTCTTATATTCGCAGAGAAAACACCTGAGGAGGTAAATACAGCGGGTAAAATAAGTATTGAACACGTCACATTTTTCTCAGTAAATATATTTCTAAAGGTGCTGTTGACATGAAAGTTTCACCAGATGTCGGTAACAACCCAAGTAATCCATACATACAAAGAAAACTAAACAAATAAGTTCACAAAGTAAGTTCTGTGTAATAAAGTGGAATGACACAGGGAAAAAGTATTGAACACATGAAGAAAGGGAGGTGCAAAAAGGCATGGAAAGCCAAGACACCAGCTGAAGTCTATCAGTAATTAGAAAGCAATCCTGCCCCTTGTCAGTGGAAATTAATATTAGCTGGTTCAGTCCCAACTGATGGCCTATAAAAAGGTGTCTCATTACCAACATGTCACACAAGAAACATTTCATGATGGGTAAAAGCAAAGAGCTCTCTCAAGACCCTCGCAACCTTATTTTTGCAAAACATACTGATGGCATTGGTTAGAGGGCCACGACCAGGTGCTCCTCACAAGATTTCTGACAGAGGAGTGAAAAGAATTATCAGAAGAGTTGTCTAAGAGCCAAGGACCACTTGTAGAGGGCTTCAGAAAGACCTGGAATTAGCAGGTACAATTGTTTCAAAGAAAACAGTAAGTAATGTACTGTATCCTGTATACACCCTCACCATGCAAGACTCCATTGCTGAAGAAAAAGCATGTTACTTATCGCGAGAGGCAAAAGGTT